AAATATTTGTTGAATGAAATAATAAATTGGTCCTACTTTTGAGAAATCAGGTGACTATTGGTTTAGATGAAAACCTATACAGATTTAGAATAAGATGGATTTGATTAGGACCAAGCGTGGTGACTGACATAGTAGTCTCTCAGTTAACCGTCCACCAGATTCACCTACTTTTATTTTAATGTATTATATTTTATTCTGTCAGCTCCTTTCAAACCTCAGCACATTAATGGATTTAAAACAAGTGTTTTGCATTTTTAAACTATGATTTGGATTAGATATTTATTTACTTTTTGGCCACAGTTTCTACATCTATAAAATAAAAAAAAAATCTGCTTTTGAACCAACTAAAATAAAAGGATAGGAAAGTATGGCATGTTCAGTCAATAGTAATCTCAAAAAGTTTCTACTCTTAAAATACGTAACTTCCCCCAAGAAATTATGTTAAATAAAATCTCCACTTTGTTCTTTATGTCCTATTCATTCACTTTTCAACTGTCTAAGTTCATTAAAGGAAAAATTATCAATTGTTGATTATATAACAGCAGATAATCCTCTTGTAACCCTTCTAGTTTATGGCACCTTAAAAACAAAAAAGCATCAGATATGGAAATGACCAGTTTAGTATTTTATCAAAAAAAAAAATTTGAAGGTAGAATGATTAATTCAGATGCTTTCCCTATAAAAAAGCTTGTCATATAAACAGCCTGTTTCAATTCCTTTTTATTCAAACTGGAAAAAATATATTCACTTTTATTAACCAAAAATATTTTACATGGAGGCAGAAAAAGAAGAATGGGTTGCTTAGTTGTACCCCCAAGCTCTTCTGACAGTCATATTTTTTTCACTGTTTATTCTCAGTAAATTTCAAATTCTGAGGCATTAGTGATGTTTATTCAGGTTAAGACAGTCTCTTTCCATTGCCAAACTTTGATTTGTTCCTGTTAGAATTTCAGTGGTTCCTAAAGTTTTTCTCATTCTTCTACATTTTTCTTACCACTTTTCAAGTGTAAATTTAGATTTGGCATACTGGTACTGTGAAATTTATCTTCTAATAGTGAGAAGATGCATAACAACAGAAGTCTGTTATGTGTGTTGTACTGAAGTTTTCAGGCTTTGGTTTTGAGATACTTCTGGATAAACTTAGATGTATGAAGTCATCTCTGTACAAATATACTAGATTGCATATGAAAAACCTCCATTTTATTATAATATTAAAATGCTTTTTAGAGAAATAATTAAGAACTTAACTCTTTTAAGTTTCTTGTTTGAATGTTATCATCTCAACAACAGTATTTCCCAGTTTGTCCATGAAAGTTCTGGTTTCTCCCTGTTTGACATGATTATTGAGGGTGCCCTCTTTCACTGTAAAAAGTGTCTCAAGTTGAAAAGTACATTATTTGGACATTAGTTATAATACTAGCATACTTACTTTCCTTTTGCATTTTACATAGGATTAATAAGGTTTCTTCTCCATTTTCTGCCATCTTTCCCCTCAATTCATTTCCCACACACAAATGTAGGATGGATGAGAGATATAAGTATGTGCATATGGGGGAATGGAGTTTGTAGGAAACGACATGAAAGAATCATGAAAAATACTTTTGGAATCATGTGTTAGCTTCCTAAAAGCATTTTTAAGAATGAAATACTTGAACTTTTATATTTTAAAGCCCTCGTTATAACAGATGGCTAGCTTTTAACATATTCTGTTGTTATAATTATGTTGATTATATATTTGATTACATATATAGATTATATTGATGTGTTGATTATATATAATTACATTTGATGATATATATTCAGTTTGGACTTTTAGAACTTTAGATTTTTTGGTTGTACATGCTAGTGTATATCAGTTTTTCAGGTTTGTCTTTTGAAGAACATTTGAATTCCTGCTATTCTTTAATTGTATTTAGTTGTATTTTCTAAGGCATTTAACACTTAAAAATGGATAATTTATTAGTTATATGGCAGTGAGGGTTTTATCCGTGGCTGGAATACAGTACATCTGGTGGTTTATCAAACTAGTCTAAGTTCGAAAGAGCTATGGGCTATAAGAACAAGTATATAATATATTCACAGTTCTTTCAAGGCCTATTTTTGATTTAACATTTGTTTGTGCTATGAGATGGTTATATAATATAAATCTCATAATGACAGGATTTCCCAAGGAGAAAACTTCTGTGAAACAAAGGGAATCTTAAGAGAGGCAGCACTATAGTATGATGAAGAGCATGACTCTAGAACCAGACACTTCAGGTTCATATTCAGGCTCCATAGCTTACTTGCTGTGTGACCTTAGGCAAATACTTCTCTGTGTTTCAGTCTTTTCTTTTGTAAAATGGAGGTAATGATACAGCCTACACTCTGTGGGGTTTTTGTGAAGATTAAGTTATTATATGTTATAACAATGTTTTTTTAATAAATAATAAAAGTTATTATACATAAAGTGCCTAGAATAGTGCCTAACACATGGTGAGCATTCTGTTTGATATCACTATTTTGTAAATGGAAGAATAGGTCCGTTTATCTATCTCAGACTTAACTTGAAACATTAAAAGTCAATTGATAATTTATCTATATCTCTATGTTACAAGGAATTATGCTGCTTCTTATTGAAGTATACAGGTTGTGGGTGAGGCTTTGGAAGGTATGGTACCTGACAAGAAGTATGGGTTTACACAGAAATCTTACCAGCAGACACCTGTGAGGACCTATTGGTAGAAGCCTGGCCTTTTAGCACTTCCTCCCTTTCATTTCAGTTTTCTCTTTTTGAATTGCCTTTATTTGTCCTTCTAGGTCCAACTTCCATGTCTTCCCTTCACCTCACCTCTGTTCCTCCCATTAAAAGTAATCAGCTCCTCCTCTTTTTAGCCATACAATTTTGTTTATGCCTTCATAGAGCACTAATTATAGTTAGCTGGATGGTATAGATTGTGGCATACCCCTTCTCGTAAGACCTAATGTTAGTTCAGTCTGAGTTTTATTTCATTCCCTGTGACTTACTTTTCTTCCTAAGGCCCATTATTTCAGGAAAGGAAATATAGTTAGGGACTGAAGTTTCTCCATCTACCAACTAAGCATTCATGATTAGTACTATAAATAAAATCTACTTGGAATTTTACTACTGAAATAACATATAGAATAATGAGGTTATATTTGAGAAATGAAAATTGCAACCAATTTGTAATGATTTACTGACTAAAATATATAGATCATCTAGGAATGGAAAATATATAAATGTTTAATATACTTTGAGAATTTATTCTGTGGAGAAAATAAAAGTAAATTTTCATGTTTCAGTTGGTTTGATAATAGAATATTTTTGAAGGGCATTGTAATCAGGATGATTGCAGAAAATGACATGCCATTTTGTGATCTCTAGCGTAAAATACACTTCCACTTAAGTAATAGTATACAAAAGTTATTTTCTTTTTAATAAGAGTTATCTATACTCCATTTCTTTTGAAATTATTTTATTTCTGGCTTATAAACTATTTCACTGATGAATCTGTCTTGGTTGACATGTTTTAAATTTTAAATTTGTTGCATCTTTCACACCATGCATAAGATGATATTGAGCACCAGCACAGCAAGTATGACCACTTAGCATGTCTGTCCAACAGTTATTAGATAGATTTGTTCAAACTCTGTGGGTGTTCACTACTTCGTACTGACATTCTCCATAAATAAAAAAAAAAACAAATTTCAAAGTCCAATCCAGATTTTTGTGGGGGATAGGGTGATCCGATGTTTTGTTTTGTTTAAAAAAAAAAAACACTCTTTGGAGTAAGACATAGCTGGGCTCAAATTGTGGCTTTAACACTTAGGCCATGTGACTTGGGGCTAGGTATTTAAGCTCTTTAAAATTCAGTTTACTCAGCTATAAAATAGGTTAGAAAATACAACATTAGGGATTTATAGGGATTAAGTGAGCAAAATTATTTACGTTGTACTCTATGTTATAAGTCTGTTGGAGAAAAAGATTTTTGATAAAATTGACTCTCTAACAGAAGCATACTGTTGGTATTTTTCTTTATCAACACTTCCACTTTGATTAAAAAACATATTTGATCTTCGAAGGCTCATATCTGGCTCTCATCTACTAATTACGCAATTGTTGTTACCTTTCACCTTTTGGACATTCCCCTTAACTGTCATTAAATATATCTTTCTGTCAGTTTCAATTTCTGCTGTCGTCAGTGCTGTAAGTGGATGACTTATCTAATACCCTGGCCTCATACTTCCTTGAGCCTTACATGAATATCGACCGTCTCAGCTCCATTTAGCTACTTCAATGGTCACACTCTGGATCTGCTTATCAATTAAAATTCTATTTGCTGAAATAAGTACTGTTCTACGTCCAAATCACTCTCCGGCACCCATCTCTAGTCTTCCATCTTGCTCATACAGCTACTTCCACTTAATCTGTTTGTCATCGCATCAGGACTTCATGTACTTTGTCCCTTCTGCTTTCTTCTGTCAGCTCTTCTGTGTTGCCCTCTCTTCCCTTTCTCTACAGGTGAAATCCCAAGATCTGTCACTTCTGTTCTTTTGTTCTTATCCCAAACTTCATTTTCATTTTGATACTTGTGATATCTAAATTATTATATCTTTCACTTAAAACATTTTATAGAACTTTATTAATATCTCAAAACCTTACTTTTCTTATGGATGATATGTGAGTAATTATACCTGCCTCATTAGATTGTGGTACTAAAAAGTTACTGTTTAGCCTCCCTTCAACCCATGTGGGGACAAGTCATGGAGAAAGGTAACATGACATTTAGAGGTAGACCTTCTTTGCTTCTACTCTGCTGCATGCCACTACAGAAATTCTCCAAGCCAGGCATATTTATATAATATACAGTCTGGGTCGTCATCCTCTAAGGGGTTCTTAAGATTGACAGATAGTCCAACTCCAAGCAAGTTCATTTATGAATCTTTAAAAGATGGATGCTTATGTATTTGGAATAACCGAATGTATATTTAAATATTAGAAATCTCCGAGAAGCAAGGGATAATGCTGTGGCTGAAAAGGACCGGGCAGTGATGGCTGAAAAGGATGCTTTAGAAAAACATAATCAGCTCTTAGACAGGTAAGCGTCCTGAAAATAGAAATGTTAAAACTCTTCAATTTTTGTTCTTATTACTTTATCTTTTAGAAAATATATTTTTAATAAAGTGTAATTTTCATTTCAATTGCAGTATAATATACATGCATTATTTTTGTAATGTGTATTTATTTCATACATTGAAACATGATAGAGAGCAATTAAGTTGCTATGATAGTACATATAGTTTCCATATACCTTTCATATACCAGTAAACTTTGAAAATAAGCTCAATGGGTCTTTTAATTGTTAAAGGAACATTCGCATATTAATTTGATTTAAGCAATACATGAAACTAAAAATTAAGGCAAGTCTTTATATAATTAAACTATTGTTAATCCTTTAGAGTGTCAAAATCTTTTAGAATGGCCCAAATTTTTGTACTTCTGAGTGCACATCAACTTTATAAACTTGACTTATGGAAGAATTTTAATAAATATAATATCAAAGAAATCTTCCCTATAATGTGAAAATGTTTCCAAAGATCTTAATGCAAAATAAACTTATAAATCAACTTTTTATGGCAGTGCTCTTACAACCTATCTTTAAATTATCTTTTATTATGTATAACCCTTCTATTTTTAAATCTATATGATTTCCACTAAAGATTTACTTGGCTTTTTGTTAATATTGTTTTGAGCGTGATATGTTTAGTAATGGCTCTAGAATAATATTTATGAACAAACTAATAGGCTTTACAAGAAAGCATAAGATTTTAGCTAGTAAACCAGGCAGAACTTCATAACTTGCTAGCTTTGGTATGTTTTTGTGAATTTGGAGAGAAGAGGATAGTAAATCTGACCTTAAAATTGTCTACTTTATATTTATACTAAGCTCTGCAATCTTCTAAATTTTTGACAACTAAAATCCTTCATATCCTATTCGTCCAAAGACATATTTATCCTAAAGAAAAGGGGATACCTTAGTATCTAAAAATATCTTCTGAATTACTGAGAATTCAATCATTTAATGTTTTAAAGTACATAGAACAGTGTCTTGCACATAGGTAGTACTATACAAATGTTTGCTAAGACTATAAAATGTTTGCTATTATTATTATAAAATAATTCGTTCAATTATTTCTTTTATTAACCTTTACTAACTGAATTTTTGCTACTCAAAAGTTGATATCTTTCCAAATCATTTCCACTAGAATATTGAATAAACTGGAACAGCTCATTTTTGAACTGCTAGATGAGAGGAACTTTATTCGTAATTCCTTGAAGCGATAGTAAAACCTTGCTTATTCAGAGCCCGATTTTCAGCCTACCTTAAATACTTATGGTAGTTTTAAAATCAAGATTAAGAAAGAGAAAAAGAAAGTATTTCTAGACACACTAGAAATAACCTCTGAGCAGCAAATAGAGTTAAGGCTCACACCTTTAAAGGACATTATAGGACTAAGCATTTCTTGAACAAATGAATGAGAATAATATATGGCGATCTAAAACTCAAAGTAAGTGTGGGCTTTAACAAAATGCTTTAAACAGCTAAAGGTAGTTACCTATTTTTTCAGCTATAATGTTGACATGGTGGGGAACAGCCCCCTGCTTACAGTTATAATGTTGCTAAACGACTTCAAAAAAGTAGGATTCTTGATGTCCCCAAAAAAGTAGGATTCCAGGTGTCCTCACAATTTAGTTTTTCCTTAATTAATCTATAAATTCAGTACAATTTTTGTCAGAAAATTTTTTAACTTTCTATTGAAACTTGAAAAATTAACTCTAAAGTTCTTTTTCAGAATTGCTATGGCTATTCTTGTGCCTGTTCTTATACCTTTACTCTTCCATTATGAATTTTATAGTTCTCTTTTTCACATTATACTTTTCATTCATCCCAAGTTTATTTTTGAGAATGGCATAGGTAGAGAACTAATATTTTTAGTGAAAACATCAGTTTTCTTAAGTTAAACCATACATTTCATCGGATCCAATTAAAAATTCTAGCAAGATTGTTTTTTTTAAGACTACATTCTATTTTCCTCTTTCGTTGGATGGTGTCAGTGGAGCACAGGCCTTTTGGGATCCTAGTAAGGGAAAGTGAATTAGGGATGCATTTGGATTAAGTGGTGGCTTCCAGGAATACTCATTGTCCGCTGTGCCCGATCCCTGTGTTAGAGAGAGATAGGAATGTGTTTCAGGTACCCATTACTGCAGCCAGGCATCGTTGGCCTTCTTTCTTTATGAAGGCAATTTTTATCCTTTATTTTGGAGGAGATGCCATGGCATTTCTCAGACCAGTGGGCATTTAAACTGTTTACTGATGTTGTGGGTTCTTGAATTTTTTAGGACTATTTTTTATTCCTCCAGCTCTTGTACGGTATAATTGAGAAAAATGTAACGTGTTGAAAGTGGACAACATTATGATTTGATATATGTACACATGGTGAAATGATCACCCCTACACTGAGTTAATTAACACATCTATTACCTCATATGTTTATCTTTTCTTGTGTGTGAGAACATTTAAGCTTTACTCTGTTAGAAAATGCAATTAAACAATAGTGTTATCAACTATAGTCACCATGTTATACATTAGATCTCCAGACCTTATTCATCTTACAGCAAGATTTTTAACCAGACATATTAAAACTCTGGTTCGTTTGGAAAAAAATTAAATAAGTGGGTTTCTGAATAAGAAAAAACAATTTTATCAGGTTGCTGGGACAACCAGCTAGGTGAAGAAACTTTGGATTCATACCTCACACTTTTGAACTCAGAAACTGTAAAAGTAAGAATTAATAAAGTTGGCTACCTACAAATAAAAAATGTTGGTGTGGCATTACTACCATAAAGAAAGTGAAAAGACATGCAATTTGGGGAAAAATATTTGCAACTCTTATCAGTCATGTGACTGATTTGTAGGAAGACCCTCCTACAAATCAATAATAAGTGAAAATTAGATTATGGTTAAAACTATAGCGATTTTTCTGCAAAAGCTGAAAGATTGATAATACACTGTTTTCATCGGTATGAAAACACAGGCAATCTCATACATTGTTAGTGGGATTTTAAATTGGTACAACCTCTGTGAAGAGTAATAACCAGTCAAAAGTACAAATGCACATTGCTCTTGACCCAGGAATTTCACTTCTATTACATTATCCTACAGATATTCTTGCTAGGTACAAAATGACATATATGACAACTTACTCTTTATAGCATGGGTGGTTATTATGAAAGATTGAAAACATACCAGAAGTCCATTGACATTTAGGCAGTAACTCGATAAGTTCTAGTACATGGATACAGTTATAGAATAAAATATGTAAGTATGCAAAAGGAATGAAGCAGCTCTATATCTTGATGAGGAAAAGTCTTTAAGACATGTTGTTGGGTGAAAAAAGGCAAAGTAACAGAATCATATGTATATGACAGCATGACCATGTATGTGTACCAGTTTTTTGCACCTAGTCTATGTATATATCATGCTGTCATTTGTATATGAATTAAGAACAATACAAGACATACATGTGTATTTTATATTTGTGTGTATTTGCTTTTGTATATAGAAACACTTATTGCTTGTGGAACAGGAAATTAGGTAGCTGGGGGACAGATGTTGGATATAGAATTTTTTAAATATATGGGAATATATTGAAACTTGTGACAGTTCCAACCTTTCCAGGTTGTTTTCAGGCTTAGATGTGAAAATATAAGTGCATTTCTTAGATGATGCTCATTAAGCACCCATGCTCCTAGTGGTTTTTAAGATTGCTATTGGAGAAAGCAAGTTTGGCCTGGAGTTAGGATAGATTCTCTAAGAATAAATCAAAGCAGACTACATTTCCATTTTTAAATAGGGATATTACGCTGGTAAAACATAGAAATGAAGTTAGTGTACAAGTGATTTGCCAAGGCTTTCCATGATATTCTAAACAAGATGGAAAATATATGGGCACAATTCAAGTTTAGGTAAATGTACTAGTAACTGTGAAGGCCTCTACCCAAATGGTTTTAGAGAATCATTAATAATCAAGAGGTGGGTTTATAATGACCTCCAGTAATGCTTTGTGGTATTATATTTAATACTGTATTTCTACATTTTTGTCAGTGATTTGGGTATACTTGAAAACACTTATAAAACAGAAAAATAACATTGAATTACAGAACGAGGATCTAGATAAATCTTTCTAGGCAGAATTAATGACCTCAATGAAATTTAATGAATAAATATGATCATATACTTGGGCCCAGAAAACATTCGTTATTAATATAATTGAATTGAAATGTGAAAAATAAATATTTAGAATTGAAATGCAAAAAGATCTTGGAAGATTTCAATATGGAGATATTATCCTACAGTAATGGAAGTTATATCTAGGATGTGGTTGGTGATTACTTTATCTATAGAATCACACTAAGATTTAAACACCCAAGCTTTAAACCCAAGGTCTTAAAAAGGAAAATGACCAAAACTGTGGAAATGTCTTAATAGTGCTCAATTATAAGAATCTACAGATATTTAAAGGATTCTTATATGAACGAGCTGGTTTTCTCTCTCAGTCAAAGTAGTAGAATTGGGATCACTGGGTAAACATTACAGGAAAGA